GGAAAAGAAAGCTGCTGAGTCAGAGCCCAACCCCATCTAAACCCAGAGTGGGGAGCATCACTGCAATTCCTTCATTATAATCCATTCAAATTGTTGTTGTTCTTTGGGGTTTTTTGGTAGGCTCCACACCCAGCATAGCTCCCAATGTAGAGTCCAACGTAGGGCTTGAATTCATGACCTTGAGATCAAGACCTGAGCAGAGATCAACAGTCAGAGGCTTAACCCACTGAGCCATCCAGGTGCCCCTGTTTTGGTTTGGTTTTAATCCTTCTATTTTCAGATACTAGTTTGTCACTTATGGTCCATAAAAATTCTCCACAAAAAATTTAAAAAGGAGTCAGAAAAACATGGCTTAAGGAGTTTTTTGTGTCTTCTTCTGGTAGTTTCTTGTATACTCCACAACAGTTTCACTTTTAATATTGGATAAGTACCAGCTGTGGGAATTGACTCCTAGGTGTCTTACTGCCCACACCCGGTGAAGGCCTAAATACTGAAATAGATAGAATGTACTCCAAATGCTAGGAGCTCACCGAGACCTCACATGATTGGCGCTAATTTGCCTTCACATGATTAGCCCTAATTAATGGGACCATCAGGAGCTTGCTAAATTCCTTTACAAAGTAGTGAAGGAAGCCTAAGATTAAGGACAAAACCCTTAAAAAAAAAAAAAAAAGACTTATGGATTTATTTATCTGCGAGAGCGCAAGAGAGCAGAAGCAGAGGGAGGGGCAGAGGCAGAGGGTGAAGGAAAAGCAAGCTCCCCACTGAGCACAGAGCCCCATCCCAGGACCCTGAGATCATGACTGGAGCCGACGCTTAACCGACTGAGCCACCTAGGTGCCCCAGGGACCAAATTCTTATCCAACAGACTATCAGCTGTCAGTTACTAGCATCCAGTGATGTACAATCCTGTGTAGTCGTAGGCTCTAAAACATCCTCTGCTCCCTTCTCAGCCAAAACATCTATATTTTCATAATAAACATTGTGCATAGAACATTAGTAAGCCCGTAAGATTTCCATGACTACATTTTTTGGAAGGCAACTTGACACTATTAATTAATTATAATTGACAACACATCTTTACACCCAGGCACCCATTTCAGGCACTATAAAAATGTATGTGCATACTGACTAATGATGTGCCCACCCCCCACAAAAAAACACTCAAAAAATAAAAAACTGAAAAAAAATTAGAAACAAGTTAATGCCTACCCACAGGAGAAAGATGAGTTAAGTAAGGATGTATGCAGACTGAGATACGTGGATGCTCACCAGAGGGTCAGGGCCATGCCGGCTGCCCGGGCTTGGTTCTCTAGAGAATAACAACACCACCAGGGCATCGAACAACTTGGCAGTTGCTTCCTTGCTGAGACTGGTGAGCTCTGACCTCCATACTGTCCTCCTGTCCTGCTCCCCTTTGTCACAGCAGAGGATACCAGCATCCTTATATAGTGAAGATCCACATACTCTGCCTTGATCGGACTTGGCCTCACAGCCTAATCATCAGACGTTTCCTCTGAAACACTTTAGAATTCAGCTTACCATTCCCATGGTCATTTCTCACCTAGACCCTGGTAACGCCTCCTAACCAGTCCCTTTGTGTCCACTCTGCCCCTATATCCTATTTGCCACACGAGTATTGAAGAGGTCGTTTCACAACGCAAATTATTGTGTCATTCTTGAAACCTCTGATGGACTCCACCGCATTTGGAGAGAAGTTGACATTGCCTCATGGAGGCCACCCCTCTTGGCTTTATCTTCCTCTCTGTTGTTCTCAGTAGTCTCTCAGTCACCCCAAACTCATTCCCTTTCTGGGGGCCTTACACAGGCTGTTGCTTGTGTTCCCAACACTCATCTTTCAGATCTCCCCAGAGCTACTTCCTCATCATCATTCAGATCTTAAAGTATCTGCTTTTCAGAGAGGCCACCTCAAACATCAGATAAAAAGCACTTTCACAAATTCTTATCTTTCCCATGGTAGTTAGCAGTGCCCTACAAGATCTTATATTTTTGTTTAAATGTTTATTCCTTATCTTTTCAGAAGAATATAAGCTCCTGTGGGCAGGACTCTGGCTTGTGATTAGAACAATGCCCAGCCCACAATGGGGAATCAAAACACGGAGGAAGAGAAAAAAGTAACACAACAAATTGCTCACACTGGTTTCCCTGAGCATGGGGAAGGCAAGAAATATGAGAAAAAAATAAGATCGTAAAATTTTTTTAAATGTCCATGATAAGAATGAATATATAGGGATAACAGTTTTGCACATACATAAAACTGAGCATGTGTGAATGTGTGTTTATGTTATTAATGAAAAATTAGTTATGACTTTTGTTAAAGATAGTAAGGAAGACTTTATTTAAGGTGGCTACTACAACAGGGTTGTATTGTTGGGGGAGAGAGAGAGGGTTGACTCAGAATACAACAGAGAAAAATGGGAACTTATAGCCTAGCAAGTCAGTAGATAGAAAACTAAGAGGAAACATCAAGGGCAGAGGGGATTCTGGCCAAAGAGGATCCTGCTGAATCCTAACAGGATTCCTGCTGAAAGCAGGCCAGGGTGATCAGATATAACCTCAACACCCTTGAAGAGGCCATGCCTTGAGCGTCAGTAGTTGGCATAATCGTCAATGAGCTAAAAGCATGCTGAGAGCAAGTAGTCCCTGTAGGGGAGTGTCTGTGGGCATGAGTCAAGGAAATACGTGCAGGGGCCCTGCTGGGGGTAGGAGCCAAGGCTGTCGACAGTGAAGGCAAGAGTATCAAAGACAAAAGTCACCCAGGAGAGCCCTGCCCCAACTGCCCAGCAGCCTTTGCCTGCCCTCAGGAAGCAAGATCACCTGGAGTTATGGTTCCAATGAGGAGGTGGATGCCCCAGAGGTATGACTGATTCCTTAGCCCTCTCCACCATGCAGCTCTAGGACTGCCTGGGAGAACTTTACATGCAAGCATAAAAGTCCCAGGATAAACATGTATGAATCTTCCATACATTTTTTAAAAGATTTTATTTATTTATTTGACAAAGAGAGAGAGAGAGAGTGAGCACAAGCAGGGGGAGCAGCAGAGGGAGAGGGAGAAGCAGGCTCCCTGCTGAGGAAGGACCCCAACATGGGGCTCGATCCCTGACCTGAGACAAAGGCAGCTGCTTAACTGACTGAGACACTGAGGTGCCCCGAAACCACATCACTCTTTGAAAATTTGATAAAATCCCTGATAATTTCCCTGGCCATTCAATATTTTATTATCTATAATCTTTCAACACACCTATTTGGATGAAGTGTATTCAGTAATCAATGGATGGCGTATACATCCATTTTGGCAATTTAGATTGTATTTTCCGCCGAGTTTCTAGTCTCTGTTTTATGGGTTTCAATAGGGCCAATGGCTTTCAAGGTGGATTATAAGAAACCCTAGCTTTCTATACAGGGTACAATTGGCCATTGGTCTTAATTCAGAACATGGTAGTTACTTATTTATTTACTTCCGTTATAATAAACATACAGTGTTATGTTGGTTTCAGGTGTATATAGTTGCATTTTTATGGAAACAAAGCTGAACTTGGGATTGCACTCTAACCAAAGGCTCACTAACAACAAACAAATCATAACCTGTTAAGTAATGTCTTAAAGGCAAAAATACTGTAGTAATCCACCTTGAACATTTATGTTGGTCATGATCTCTGTCATTATCTTTGAGATTATGAAAGAATAGTAGAATACAGATCATCCTTGTTTAATAGATAAGAACACTGTGTTTCATGGATATGAAGTAACTTGGTCAAAGTGACCCTGGTTTTAGTGGCTGAACTTTGAAAACTGGAAAATAATCAGAGCATTTCTGGAGATTTACAATGGTGTTGTGATCCAGTTTCAAGCTGTTAAGTCAATGTATGAGTGTGAGGACTTCATAAATACAAAAGAAAAAATGTTCTGATAGGAAATGAGAGAGAACTTTATTCAGCACTTTTTTTTGCAAAAGATTTAAAATAAGTATAAATGAGGTTGATGCACTCAGAGAACTATAGAATACTTTCATAATTTCTTAAGGAATTGTAGTGAAAACAGAGTATCCCAAGATTTCCCAGCTGTTAGTAACACAGTGCTCCCATGTGAACATGAATGCCAATCTCACAGCTCTGAGCATCCTACCACCACAAACACCCGCTCACATCTGGATTCGATGTAAGCCCGTTGTACTCTAGGGCCTCTCTCAGGTGGTGGTATTTTTCACCGTGATGCTCTCATGCCCTTGAAGCCCTGGATGCAAGGCCAATGGTAGAGGTTCAGCTTCCTTGTTGCCCCACAGCTCTCAGATGAGATGAATGTTCCTCTCTTAATTCAGGTCACAGGGTCATCTGAGCCACAATCTTCCCAAAGCCTGTTGAAACCATATCCGTAACATGGAGCTGTTTTGTTCATTACTTATCCAATTCGAAAAATCCAATTTGTGAGATAATATCAAATTGTGGTAAGGAACTCCGGGGTCATTCTACCCCAGTTTGAGCCCTGGCAGCACCACTCATTATTGGTGGCATGGCTTTAAGTGCCATAACCAATCTATTTCTGCTTTCCTGCATTTTAAGTGCAGACAACGTCCACAGGTTTCTCCTGATGCTCCGACTGTGTATTAGTGGGTTAGTACAGGCTTGACATTCCCCAGTTAACTCTCAGTAAATGTGCTATTATTCTTTCTGTGTGTTGACACTGGCACAAATTGTGAATGAGACACAGACTTGTTCTTAAGATATTTCTAGTTCAGTTCAGCTTATTTGGGTCAGTTGAGTTTATTCCAATTCAACTATTTGTCAATGGATAATTATAAAAAGTATTTTTCTCAAAAAGATGAGAGTCTACAGAGAAATACAGGCTGTTTGGTAAACAAATAGTTGTAATGAGTACAATAAAAAAGAAGTGTGCACAAGGTAAAAGGTAGCAGCCACAGAGAAAGACACCAGGAACTTTAAATTTTATTGTAATGTTAACCTTAAAAATAAAACTGTCAGTTATTTTACCAGCAAAATGGTTTTATTTGGGAATAACAGAATCGCAATTCAGAACATGCAAGCTATAGCAAAACCAAAGGCGAGTCCAACAAACAGAGAACTATGATTTCATGAAGAAGATGGAGGAAGTTGGGAGGGGTTGTTTTGAATGAACATCCACTGAAGAAAAGCAAGAGTTCAAGGTGGTGAGTTTCTCACTGGCTGAGTTGCAGTGATAGTTGATTTCTTGGGGAGATGCAGTCAACATCTTTTTCTTTTGGGGCCTGAAATTGACAATTCTTTCCTGCTGAAGATTCTTCTGCTGGAGCCTGTAATTGACATTTCTTTCTATAATTAATGTTGAATAGTACTGCTCTCCCCTTGGAGCTTCCCCTTCCAGCCTCTCAAGTCTACTTTAGTGAGGTTTCCCTTTATTGATTTCCACAGTAATATGGGCGAGGCTACATTGGTTGACCTGCCCTTCCCAACCACACTCCACAGAAAGCCAGAATGGGATCAAGTCCTAGGAGCATTCTACTGTTCAACCAGAGACAGTGATAAATGGGGACAGAAAGGTGAGCTTTGAGCCAACATTCAGAGTGCTAAAGTCATATCGGTGGAGCTAAGATCAGCTGACCAGGCTGAGGGAAGAAGCAGCACTAAACAAGGAAAGCACCACAGTGCTCAGTGAGTCAACGGCAGGAAGATGAGGGTGTTGGCTATGGCGTCAGATGGAGTTTGGAGTTCTTGAATTTTCTTCCCAGGCAATTGGCTTCAGGGTTCTGATCTTGTTCCTTAAAGGAATGTTAAATAACAAGCAAACAACCTATTCAACACCACACACATTTTTAGGTTATTTAAATTGCCTTATCCTTAGTTTACATATACAAAGAATTTATTTGCCAGGTATTGCAGACAGGCTTTTAACATAGTATTGTCAAACTCTTGGAACCAATTTGACTCGTCTGCTTTATAGAAAATAACCACCCTTTGACCTACTTGCTAAAGCCGGTCCTCATCGTCAAACCAATCAGCCAAATCCAACTCACGTTCTGACAGAAAAATCTTAATTTTTTTGTTTAATTCAAATGAACACGGTATTAAAAGTCTGTGACGGGAGACTTGACAAGAGCCTGTTGCTTAGATAAAACACTCTCTCAGGGGTGAGGCATTCTCAAACTATCCCCTTGTTTAGCCCTCAGAAGTATTTAAATCCATGCTCCACAATCAGATCTGGAATGGGTGAGGGGCTTTGGTGAAGTAGGAGAAAGGTGGCTGTGGAAGCGAAGGTGAGAAAGAAGAACTTGCAAAACAGAGATGCTTTTTAGAGCAGGTTAGCTGTAGAAAAGAGTACACACCTAAGGTGAGAATCTGGAAATTGGTTATCTAAAAGCTATTCATGGCCATGGAACCTCTGGAAGTCTTCCCAAATCCCATGGGGTATACATATCCCTGTTTGAACACCAGTGACCTAAGTTCCCTTAAGTTTGTAGTGTGTGCCTGGATTGAGTGGATTAAAAAGTACACTATCAGAGTAGTCACTGATAGTGCTAGGAAAAATTTCCCCAACTTGGAAATTAAAAAGAGAGATGCCATATCCATCAACATTGTACTAGAAGACAATTGCTCAACAATCCCACCTAAGGGTCAGCTAACTCTCTAGGAAAAGAACTGATTATTTATTTTTAACTATTTATTATTGATTAGGCCCAGACATGTACAGCCCTGTAAAGTTAGAAGTTAGACTATAAGAAACTGATCAGTTGCTTTTTTCTATGGTGGGAAAATTAGATAACCCCAAATATTACAGTTTAATTGCCCTACAGGACATTAACTAAGGCTGCCTCTAATTTAGCAATCATTATTCCTTTTGTTCTCACTCACTTTTGTTCTCACCTACTTTTTCAGATTCTCTTCTGAACTCACTTTGTGTTCCCTTATTAATAAAATAAATGATTTCACTCATATGTGGAATTTAAGAAACAAGACAAACGAGCAAAGGGGGAAAAAAGAGAGAGAGAGTGAAACCAAGAAACAGACTCCCTTAATTATAGAGAACACACTGATGGTTAGCAGAAGGGAAGTGGGGGAGGGATGGGTGAAATAGGTGACGGGGAGTAAGGAGTGCACTTGTGAGGAGCACCGGCTGATGTATGGAAGTGTGGAATCACTATCTTGTACACCTGAAACTAACATAACACTGTATGTTAACTAACTGGAATTAAAATAAATGAAATATTGGCATGTGCTCACTAACCCTTTGGGTGAGAATTATGTTTTTAAACATTTAGACAATTACATGTTGGCAGAGAAATTTACCTTGCATAAAAATAGGATACCTTGAAGAATTTCTAGCAAGGAAATGACCTAAGATGGATTTGTATTGGAAATACCAGTTTTGTTTGAAGAGTGCATACATAGATGGAAGTAAACCCAAAGATAAAGACACTAAATTACTGAGAGATGTTCTCATCTCTCAGTATTATGTGTTATGAACTAGGGCAGTGGCAGTGGGAGTGAGCAGGTGCAGAATGAACTTGAGATATAGAATAAATAGGGCATGATGGTTGCTTGGATGTGTGGGTAGGGAAAGAGAGGTAGGTGAGAAAGGCTGTAAGTAACATTCGATAACTGATTATGAGGGGGTGGCAAGGAAAAGGAGGAGCTGACCTACATCAGCAATAATTCCTGCGTTAGGCATAGAGATTGTATCAGGTGGCAGCAACACACATTTAGCATGTGAAACAGAGAGAAGTAGGGCAAGGAAGAAAGTCCTTAAGTTCCTCGCCTTTTACATAGTTCACACACATTATAGAATAAACTCTTTGTCTCCCTGGCTCACTCAAAATTCCATCCTTCCTTCTGAAATGTTTGCCTGTCCCATCTGATTTTGAATCATCCTAGTATCCACTACAGCCTAACATACACTTTTTTTCAAAAAGGTAAATCACGGGACACCTGGGTGGCTCAGTCAGTTAAGCATCTGCCTTCAGCTCAGGTCATGGTCCCAGGGTCCTGGGATCAAGTCCTGCATCAGGCTCCCTGCTCAGCGGGTAGCCTGCTTCTCCCTCAGCCTGCTGTCCACCCCGCCCCCCCCCCACACCCGCTTGTGCTCTCTCTCTTCTCCCTCTCTCTCTCTGACAAATAAATAAATAAATAAAATCTAAAAAAAAACGTTTAAAAAAAAACAAAAACAAAAGGTAAATCACATTTACCTTTTAACCAAATTTGCTAAATGGAATTACTCTGTAATGCAAGGAATTAGGAAGATTAATTAAGGATAGTTCTCCATGAAAAAAAGGGGGGACCAACTGAAGTGAATCCTTTCAAACAACAGACAGATATAGAAATACAGATATGTGCACACATGAAAGGGCCAAGATACATTGACACCTCAGTAGCAACAAGCACCCCACCACCCAAATCTTGGTTTTTAAGTACCACTCTAATAAAAGGAATCAGAAACAGCTGACTCCAGGGCTGGGCTGAGAAAATACAAGATGAAACTGGGGCATCTCGTAGTGTCGGAAAATAACAAAGTTCTTATTTAAAAAAGTGATTTCTCTAGAGGACATGGGAGAAAACCTGAAAGAGCCCCAGTGGCCAAAGATGAAACAACTTGAACAAAATAAATGTTAGAATTCTAGGTTGAGGTTGACCTTTCCTCTTCTTTCAATACTTTAAAAATATTGCTCCACTGTCTTCTAGCTTGCATTGTTACCAAGAAAAACATGCTCTCGTTCTCATTTTTGCTCTTCTGTATATGATGTGTCTCTTTCTGGGGGCTGCTTTTAAGATTTTCTGTTTATAATTAGTTTTAAACAATTTAATTATGATGTGCTTTGCTGTAGTTTTCTTCATGTTTCTTGTCCTTAGGGATTCTGGAGCTTCTTGGATCTGTGAGTTTATAGACTTCATCAAATTTGTAAAATTTTGGCTATTATTTCTTCAAACACTTTCCGTGCCCCTCGCATTCTCCTCTAGGGCCTTGAACTGTATTTTAAGCTAATGTGTGGATCTGCACACACCGAGGCGCTCCACTTTGTTTCCAGTTTCTGTTTTCAATCTGTGTTATTCTGCGTAGCCTCTATTGCTATTTTCAAGTTCACTACTCTTTTCTGCCAAGTCTAAAATGACATTAATCCCATCCAGGGCAATTTTTATCTTTGACATATTTTTTTTTTAAGATTTTTATTTATTTATTTAACAGAGATAGAGAGAGAACACAAGTAGGCAGAGCGGCAGACAGAGGGAGAGGGAGAAGCAGGCTCTCCGCCGAGCAGCGAGCCCGATGAGGGGCTCGATCCCAGGACCCTGGGATCATGACCTGAGCTGAAGGCAGCCGCTCAACCAACTGAGCCACTCAGGAGCCCCTCATCTTTGACATCTTATTATAAATTACTAACTCCAATGGAAACCACAGCAGGATTTCATTGTATAACCTGAATGGCTGATTCAGTTATTCTTCTTAGAAAATATATGGTATATAGAAGCTATTTCTTCAGAACTGGCATTTTACTAGGCACCTTGCCTTCAAAGACCTCTTCTAGGAGCTGCCTAGAAGAAATACTGCAAGTCTGTGTGTGCAGTTAAAGAAGTACTTTTTTTTTTTTTTAAAGATTTTATTTATTTATTTGAGAGAGAGAGAGAGAGAGAGCACATGGGGGGGAGGGTCAGAGGGAGAAGCAGACTCCCCGCTGAGCTGGGAGCCCGATGCGGAACTCGATCCTGGGACTCCAGGATCATGACCTGAGCCGAAGGCAGTCGCTTAACCAACTGAGCCACCCAGGCGCCCCTAAAGAAGTACTTTTGAGCAGGTGTGCACATATGCGTGTGTGTTAAGGGGAAGGTGATGTGGAGTGAGAAGGTATGCTGGGGTATCAAAGGAATTAAGTCTTGCACCGGTGATGGGATCCTAGTGTGTTTCACTCCTGCACTCCTGAGTACAGTTCCTTTTACTTTTTGTTTTCTTAATGTCTGCCATGGTGTTACACTCATAGAACCTCAGCAATTGCTCTATTTCGCTTTCAAGGCCCATGACCACCAGAAGCACCACTGTCTTTAGTAAGCAATTCCCAGACCCTAGTCTCAGTGAAAATCCCACCATTCTAGGTATTTCACTTGTGCACAGAGGATCTGAGCAACCCGGCTATTCTAAGCACACTGCTCCTATATCCAGTTTTTAAATAAGCCCTTTTGGTTCTGCCTCCAATCTGTATCTTTCCATCCCCACTGCCATCACCCTATTCAAGTCACCACCACAACTTACATGGACCACTGAAGTAGCCTCGTACCTGGTTCTCTTACTTTTGTTCTCACCCTTCTCAAATTCATTCCCTACAAAGCTATGGAATGATTGGGGGGAAGTCTATTTGTTTTATTATTTCCTTTGGGAATATTGATCGACTTCTGCATGTTGATTTTTGTGTCCTGCAACTTCACTGACTGTGTTTATTATTTTTTTAAGATTTTATTTATTTATTTGAGAGAGAGAGTGAGCACAAGTGGGGGAGGGGCAGAGGGAGATGGAGAGGGAGAAGCAGACTCCCCACTGAGCAGGGAGCCCAATGTGGGGCTCAATCCCAGGACCCTGGGATCATGACCTGCGCCAAAGGCAGGCCCTTAACTGACTGAGCCACCCAGGCACTCCGTGTTTATTATTTCTAATAGTTAATTTTGTTGTGTCATTAGGGTTTTCTCTATATAATATCATGTCATCTGCAAAGGTAATTTTACTTCACCTGTCATTTAGATGTCTTTTATTTCTTTTTCTTGTCAAGTTTCTCTGGCTAGG